TTGGTGACATCAGCTGTGCCTTGGTCTGTGAGAACATCGGCCGCCCCAGCAGGCACAGTGCCAGCCCAAAGGGCAGCAGTCAGGAGGGCGGCGGGACAGACGCTGGCCAGTGAGGCCTTGTGGGCCTTTTTCTTTTTTCTCTTTTGGAAGGGGAAAATCCAAGACCCCCATTCTTTGGTCATGTGCCCTTCGAGAATGTAAACTCATGGGACAGAAGGGAAATGACTCTTTTATGATTTTCTTTCATAAAAGATCCAGTGGATGCATTGGTCCAGACTTTTGCTTTGGGGGAAGTCACAGAGTTTTTTTCCTGCCTGCAGTTTAGCCTGGTCTGTGGCCTCTTCTTTGCCAAAGAAGTCTCTCCCCAGAGACAAGAACCTCTGTATTTCCTCGAGGTGGGATCACAGAATGGGCCCCTGGAAAACTGCACACCCAAAGTTTTGTCTTGAGCTCACCCTGGGGATTCAGGCCTTGACTTAGTGCAACACAATGTCAATGCTTGTTAAGGTGAAGCCAACATTCCCAAACCCCATGCTTTCAGCAGAAAGAAAATCATAAAATGCTGAATATTATTTAAAAAGCTGTCTCCTCACAGAAATAACTGCTTTTCATATTGGAAGTCTGAGATTTGATGAGAAGATAAGACCAAACGGTTGAGGGCAGGGAGTCTCAGCTCCTACCCTCTCTCTGCTTGCCTTTCACACCACCCTCCCCCATGGCTCCCTCCCCCAGGCCACCCTCACTAGTGATTCGTGCCCACAGAAGCTGGGAGCACCCCCCTTCCTGGAGTTCCAGCCTCGGTTCCGTTCATCTATGATCACTGCCATGAATGCCTTTTTTCAAGCATTCATTTTATACTTTTCACTCAACACACATTTTAAGCCTATTAACAGCAGCAGTCACAGTTACTGAGTGTTCTGTCTCTCCCTTTTCCTGTAGGCCTTTTGGAAGTCTTTCTGAAAAAACAACGAAAGTAAGAGAACAGTGGTGAAATGACCTAAGGCAGGCATGAGACAGAGGAGGCTGGCCAAGTCTGAGGGGTCCCAGTGGCAGAGTTGGACCCAGACTCCTGAGGGTTGGGTGGGGAGCCTTTGTGTGAGGTGTGAACACTTTCAGTGCTTTAAAGGCCCCTGTACCACTTTGGGCAGATGCTGCTCCTCAATGGGGAACTGATATCATGCAAGTTGACCATAGGGCTACCCAAGAGCCCAGAACTGTTGGCTCCTGGTTGGATGTCTTTTAGCTGCTTGGACATCTTGCCTTGCCAGGGTGAAACCTCTAGGTCTATCCCATTGCACTTTATTCTAGACTCACAGAGCAGGAGGAGCTTGTTTTCAGGTCCCCCCAAATTTCCTTCCAGGCTCCACACTGCCAGGAATATCTTCTACCTGCTGTTAACGTGTTTCTCTCCAAACAACTCTGGAAGGCTGGGGCAAGCATTCTCCCTCGTGTTTCCAAAGGAAAACCAAAATATAAATGATCAGTAACTGGGTCTTACAGGAATGTGTGGTGGTGGGGGAAGGGGTAATCTTGGTAAAAAAATAAAGGCAGAAAACTGTGGGCAGGAAATGGGGAGCATGGCTGAGTGACCCCCACACCACAGTAATGAGCTTCTGTTCTCTGCCTAAAGGCACACTAGACCTCAAGCCCAGGGAAACAGACATGAATGGTGCTCTTTGGGCTAACACTCCACACAGAGGAAAAAAGGCAGGAAAAAGAGACAGGAAGAAGGCCTGGAAGGAGGTAGCCTTGCACTCCTTGGGGTAGGTTTTGAGCTCACTCCTGGATCTTTTCTGAGCTGAGCCCACAAATGACCTCCTGCCCAGTTCCTGCCTTTGACAGCGTTCACCTGAGCAGGTGACAGTAATTGTGGGGAGTTCCAGGCACTTCCATGAAGGGTGTGTGAGGAAGAGTGGATCCCAGGGGAATCTGCTTTCCCCTCATTAGGCCTCAGTGAGGACACCAGCATTGGGCCTCCCTCCTCAGCCCTGAGTCAGGGCTCAGGACAGGGAAACGACTGAGTATCTGAGGAGGGAATGAGAGGATCTCGTTACATTCAAATATACCACCAAGAGGACTTCAGTCCTGGTCTGTCCAATTTTGAGGCATGTTCTGTTTCCTCCATTACATTGAAAAAAATCCCATTACGCTTGCTTCAACTGACCAGGAGTGCCGCTCCAGAGGTGCCAATCCCAGGAACTTGAAGATTATGGAGACAAAAGGAATGGCTAGTGGCTGAGACAGGCAAGACATACTACGGCTCTGATCAGAAGATAGTGCTGAATGCGGCAGGGAGTGTGAAGGGGTTATTGAGAAGACAGAGGTTACAAGACACTCTCTGAAGAGTAAGGAACAAGCAAAGTATTTATTTGGTGACCCCCGTATTGTTGAATGTGGAGGTCTAGAGGACTCCGTGATAAGTAAGAATTCTTGCCCTCAGGACTTCCTGTTATAGAAGGGGCATCGGTCAGGGTTCTCCGAGAAACAGAACCAGGAGGATAGATACAGGTGTACAGAATGAGATAAAGTACAGGAATTGGCTTGCACAATTGTGGAGGTTGAGAAGTCCCACAACTTGCTGTCTGAAAGCAGGAGACCTAGGACAGCCAGTGCTGAAATTCTGAGTCAAAGTCCTGAGAGTCAGAAGGCCGACCATGTAAGACCTGGACCCAGGCTGCAGGTCTGGGGAGCAGGAGCACTAAGTCCAAGGACAGGGGAAGATTGATGTTCCAGCTCAACACAGCAAATTCACCCTTCCTCTGCATTTTTGTTCTGTTCAGATCGGACAATGCCTACCTGCATTGGGGAGAATCATCTTTACTCAGTTTACCAATTCAAATACTAACCTCCTCTGGGAACACCCTCACAGACAAGCCTGAAGTAACGTTTTACCTTTAGCCCAGGCAAGACTGACTCAAGATTAACCATCACAGAGGGGAAATTAGAATGGAATCCGAAGGTTTCCATATGGCAGGGTAAACCTGAATCCTGGCTTCCTTTTTGTGATGAGGCCGCAGGTTGCCAGTGTACAGCTGGGCTGTCCCCATCCAGTAGCCACTGCCACATGTGGCTGCTGAGCACCTCAGATGTGGTTGGTCTGAGCTAAGATATGCTGTAAGTGCTGAATACACAGTGGGTTTCAAAAACTTACTTAAAAAAAGAAAAACATATATAAAATTTTAAGTTGAATACATGTTGAAATAAAAATATTTTGGTATATTGAATTAAATAAAATATATTATTAAAATTTATTTCAATTATATGTTGCTATTAAGAAATTTAAAATTACATTTGTGGCTTGCATTATTTTCTATTAAACCAACACCAGCTAAAAGGAAACTAAGATCCCCTTGTATATTTTTTCTTAATCCAGGAGCCAAGGAAGGTGCCAGAGGAGCTTTCAGGATTATTCTTTTTTGGGGGAGGCTCCCCACTCTGAACCTCAGGCCCTCTTGGTTCTCGGAGTCAGAGACCTCCAAAACAGATGTTACTTTCATCAAAAATATGTGTCCCAGAGTGATCCCTCCAAAAAGGCCTTTAGAAAATGGACTCCTATAATAGTTGGAGAGACTCTCCATTATAGCTTTCGCCACACAGAGACCCTGAGGTTCCCCTCCTGCTGGCTGTTTCTTGGTGTGGTCTGTGTTGGACCATGTGGGCTGGCTGCCCCTAGTAAGCGAGGTGCATGCTAGACTAATCCAAGTTAGCTCTTCTTGTGGCAGGAATTCTTAGAGCCAGAGACTTTATATATTGATAGGTATTGTGACTCCTTGAGAGTCAAACATATTATGTGACCTTTTGTAAGTTTACTGAGGACAGATCCTCATGTGTTCTTTGAGCATCCACTGCACATACATCAAGAAAGACTGTGTGGACTCTATGGTTTCTGCACTTCTCCTAAAGGTCCTCTTTCTCCCTGGCCCCACACTACCACTCCCAAGTCTTCCCTCTTCCAGGAAGAAATGGCTAAAGTTACAGGCACACACTACTGGAGCTGAGAGAAAACTGGAGCTGCTTCTATTAATTCCTAGGGTATTTTGTTCACATTTGGCAAAATGACACTTGATTTAATAAGAAAAGGAATATGCTAATATTCAACCAGGTGAAACCATTGTTCTTTGCCTGGTTTTGACATTCTCCTTTCCATATATCAGAAGAACTAAATTTCCCTCCAAGTTATATGACTGTAGGAGATCTCCAAATATGTATATAATTTGTGTACTGGGAGTCAGAGAGAGAGAGCCTTATATCAATGCTTAATTCACTCAACTCAGGGAGGAAAATATGATCAATTTCCAATGGACAGCTTTAAAGTTTGCAAAGTGTTGGATTAAGGTCCTTACTCAACAATAGTTTATATTCTTTCTTATCCAGTCTCTAACCCTCCCAAAGAGTGTGTGTGTGTGTGTGTGTGTGTGTGTGTGTGTGTGTGTGTGTTGGTTGGGGGTGGGGGACCCTATAGCAGTGAGCAGCCCACAGGCTGAGGCACGACTGGAAGGAGACTCAATTACATCAATCCATTTTGTGAACCCCGGCTGCTGGTCTATTCCATCCCAGCACTCTCCCCCTCCTCACCATCTCTAATTCTGAGACCCCTCGCAAATACTCAATTCAGGCTCCTACTAAACTTTCAGCTTCTGTCGTCAGCTGCCCACACCTGGCCCACTTAAAAAACAACAACAACAACAACAACAACAACAACAACAGATGTCATCTATAGGTTGGCCTTGCCAACACAGGCATTTTCTTACTCTTAGTTCAGCCTTCTTGGTTTCATCATCACTTAACAATCATGTATTAAAAAGAATACAGTTGCACTGTGCCAGGTGTGGGGCTGAGTGTGGGCAAGAAGGGGCAGGCTCCTACCTGGTCTGCACATACAAACGAAATCAGTTGATTTGTTGTTGTTGTTGTTTTTAAAATAGCCTTGGCCTCATTAGGTTGAATTCCTTATTTCTTTTTCAGTCTTCATCACAACTAAATTAAAGTTTGATCCTTACTTGCACTGGACCGTTTGTGCTGGCTGCCCTCAGAACCTTCCTCCTCGCCTCTGTAACCTCCCTCACTGTCCTGACCCCAGCAGTGCCCCTGCCCTTCTGAGCACCAGCCTTCATCCTCCAGACACTCTGGAGCTCCTCTGTGTCCTTTCCAGAGGCAGGGCCACTGCCGTGCAAACGCAGAAGAGACCCAGTTTCAGCCAACAAGCTCATATTGCAGGTCAGGAAACAAAAGAGCAATTCAGTTCCCATGAAAACTTGCCAGATTTCCTTTCAATGATTTTCCTTCTTGAAATCACTTTTTGTGTTTCCATCACAGAAATGAATTCAAAGTAAAATGAGTAATTGCTGGTCTACTTAGAATCATCAGTCTGCCACAGGTAAGTATTATTCCTGCATGAATCTATTAATTTCCATTTCCAGGGTCTTCAGATATAAAACAAATGTTTGGTGTAATGTACACCTCTACTCTGTTAAAATTATACAACTTAATGCCTAAATTGGAGAAGCACTTTATCAATCAGTATAAATTTGGTCCTTAGGAGACTGTTTTACATTTGTTTAACACATGGGAAGATGCTTTTTGTAGGATTTCTTGGCTGATGCTCTCTCCTGAGTTACAATAGTAGTAACTGCTTCTTCTTGGTGTAATTCTCACATCCAGTGGTGGCTCAGTACAAAGGTATTTGAAGGGGACTGAGTGGTTGGTAATCTCTAATTATGAATAAAGTATTTTCCACTCTAGGGCCATTTCCTGAGCTCCTATGTAACACCATTCTGAGCACAATTGACTAAGTACCTATATGTTCTAGGAGCTAGTCACAGTGTTTAAGATGTGGATTCTACGGTAAAAAGAAACAACAGACCCAAAATGGAGTCACTCATGGTAAGCCCCACCAAGGCTTATACCTAACTTAATTCAGGAGTGAAATTTTAAACCAATCAGCCTGGAACTTCCTGGCTGGTGCTAGTGAGGTGGTCTGCCTGATAAGACCCCCTGCCTCCTCCTGAGAGAAGGTGACTTTGCCTGATACAATCTACTCCTTTAAATTTCTTGTCATTCCCTATTCCTGCCTGTAAAAGCCTTCCATTTTGCACAGCTCCTCAGAGCATTTTTCCATTTACTAAATGGGATGCTGCCCTACTCATGAATGTTCAATAAAGCCAATTATATGTTTAAGTTTACTTGGTTGAAATAAATGTCTTTAACATTTATAATTCTAAATATGTTATATCATTTATTTTCTTCTTCTGCAAAGTGGGGAAGTTAGATTCCTGCCAGGCCTGGTAGCAGAGGATTCACTACTCACACAAAGCCAATAAGAGGCCTTGATCCATTCCTGGCCATTGCTTCCCTCTTTGTCTAACTTTTGGGGCCACTGGCTGCACATCCAACCCCGCCCTTTCCCCAGACCCTAAGACTAAGCTATACCTGAGGTCGGGAGGTGCCTCTGCTGTCAGTACCCCATTGTTAGGCCTCACTGCACTGCTGCAGTTTGGACACCATGTCTTCTGCTTTAGGTTTCTGAGAGACAGTCCCCACATGCACCTGTATTCATCAGGGTTCAGCTGCAGAGAACAGAATCCTCTTGAGCAAGTTGAAGCAGAAAGGGGTCTATCAGAGGCTACTAAATGCCTTACAGAATGCTTGGGACAGCTAAAGAACAGGCTGGAGGAAGAGCTCCCTGGAGCTACCCACAAAGCCATCAAGCAAAACCAGGTCACCTTTATGACAACTAGAGAGGGGCCTGCAAAGTCATCAAACAGCTCTTCTACCTGCTGGCCTCAGAACCACTGTTCTCTGCTCATCTCACACCAGCAAAGTAGATGTCTCAGGTTCTGCTTTTGGGTCAGTTGACTAGTTCTAAATTAAATCTTCCCATTTGCATCAGGAGGTGGACCCGAAGTGATGTCTGCAGTCCTGGTTGCAGGGGACTCCAGGGAACTTAACTGCCTACGTCTGCAGTATTGGAAGGCACACCAGAAACAAAAATTGTGTTGGAAGGGACACTAGGTGAACTAACCCTCATCTTGGTCAGTTTCCCAAGCAATAACTTGATCTCCAAGTATATCCATTTTTATCTCCAGAATCTGCTTAATCCCCCAGGGTTTAAAAAACCTGTTTGTTTTGGCTGGGAACCAGCTACCTGCTGACAAATTCTAATCCCAGAACTGTTTTGTATCAAACACTTTACATCACACAGTTTCTACTTTCCTATGAAGTGCCTTTTCTCCGCTCCTCTCCTCGACACAACTTACCATTTCATAAAGTGAATCTCTGCCCCTGATAGCCACAGTTTATTGTTTCAGGAATAAGCAACTTTCTAATGTGAGCCAATCAGAGATCTCCTCTTCAATCTATGGGTTGGAAACCAACAGGGTTAGGTAAAAGTTTCTTTTAGTGGCTGGAGTTGTGGGAAAAAAAATATCAGGAGCTCTCAGAGGCTGTGATTTATGCCATGTGGTCAGAACTGACTAAGACCTCTCAGCAGCATTTGACACCATCGATCATTTCTGCCTTCCTGAAACTTTCTTCATTTGCCTGCAGGATCCGAAGTTAGCTTGGTTTCTCTTCTCCCTTCAGTTGCCCCTGCCCAGTCTCCCCCGTTGGTTCCTCCTCATTTCTTGGGCATCTTAATATTTGTGCTGTTTCTTGACCTCTTTGCTTTCATATCCCTCCTTTTTCCTTTATCTGCTCTCCTCTGTATTATAGGAGACCTGGCTCTACAGGCTGTTTTCCCAGATGACCCTGCCAGCTGGCTTCCACTGGATATAACTAACTGGAGGTGCTGGAGAGAGATTGAGGAGGGAGCCCTGGCTGTTATCTGCAGCAGCAGCTTCAGTTCTTCTTGCCTCTGCCTCCTGGAGGCCTGCCAGAGCTGTTTCTGTCAGGAGCCCAGCCCCCAGGTTCTGCAATATCGTCTCTTTATTCCCAGATGACATAATTGTCTATGTAGAAAATCTGATGGAATCTAAAAGAAGCTACTAGAATTGATGAGTTTAACAAAGTTGCAGCATATAAAATCAAGATACCAAAATCAATTTATCTATATACTAGCAATAAACAGTCATAAATTAAAATCAGTATCATTTAATGTCACATCAAAAATATTAGATATTTAGGACTGAATCTGACAAAAGATGTGATAGATTTATATGCTGAAAACTGTAAAACCTTGCTGAGAGAAATTTGAAAAGACCTAAATTAATGGAGATATATATACCTTATTCATAGGCTAAAGAGCTCATTTCTCCCCAAATTGATCTATAGATTCAAAATAGTCTGAATCAAAATCCAAACAGATCTTTCTTTGTAAAAATTAATATGATAATTGTAAAATTTATATGGAAATGGAAAGGGCCTAGAATAGGGAAAGAAACTTTGAACAAAGCTGAGGATTAACACTATCTGATTTCAATAATTATTATACAACTATTGCAATCAAGGCAGTGTGTTACTGTCATAAACATAAACAACTAGAATTGAGTCTAGTAATAGACCCACACATACATAAACAATTGAGTTTTTGACAAAGGTCTAAAGACAATCAGTGAAGGAAAGATAGTCATGTAATCCAGCAGTGCTGGACCTATTGGATAGTCACATGTAAAAAATTATGTTTTGATTTATAACTTGCACAATATTTAAAAAAAACCAAATGGATTACAGTATTTGGCATATGACAATAAAACTAGAAGAAAGCATAAAAGAAAATCTTTGTAACTTTTGGTTAGACACAGATTTCTTAGATATACACTAAGAATGATCTATTTAAAAAAAATTAACCTCTGGTCTTTGAATGACCCTGTTAATAGAATAAAAAGACAAGCCACAAACTGGGAAAAAATATTTACCAATCATATCAGAATAAAGTATTCTTGTTTACTCAATAAGAAAACAAACACCTCAGTTTTTAAAAAGGGGCAGAAGATTTGGATTCTTTACCAAAAATATTTAAATGGAAAATAAGCATGTGAAAAGATGTTCAAATTCATTGGTCATTATGGGAAAGTCACCTTAGAACCACAATAACATAGCACTATGCACCTATTAGAATGTCTAAAATCTAGAAAACTGGCTGCCTCAATGCTCATGACAATGTGGAGCAACTGAAATTCTCAGGCTGTGGTGGTGGGCACGGGAATTGGTACAGCCACTTTGAAAAAGTTTTGTTGATTCTTAAATATTTAAATATATACTTAACATACATGTATGCTCTAGCCTTCCCACTCTAGACACTTACCCAAGAGGAAAAAACAGTGCCTGTTCATACAAAGACTGGTACACAGATGTTTACAGCAGCTTGATTTGTGATAGTCAAAAACCAGAAGCAACTACAATGTCCAGCAACGGGTAAGTGGATAATTTCAGTATATCCATACAGAAGTACCCAACTCTGTGAGAGAAGGAATAAACTGGACACATGCAACAACAGGGATGAATCACAAAATAAATATTGGCTAAAGTAAGCTGAGCAGAAAGGTGTGCATACTGTGTGATTGTAGAAAGTGTGAATTCATCTTCAGCGACAGAAAGCAGGTCAGTGGTTACGTGGCGGAAGGGTGGGAGAGGAGTGCAAAGGGGCGTGATGGATCTGTTCATTATCTTTATTTGATATTGTATAAATGTGTCAAAATTTATCAGATTATACACTTAAAATATATGCATTTCTGGTATATCAATCATAGCTCAATAAAGCTGTTATGAGAACAATTAAGTTCGACCATGTTTGTCCTCTGCCCAGAACCTGCTATTTGTCCTGGAGTAAAAGGCATGGTCGTCACAATGCCTGCAGGTCCCTTTCTGGCACACTCTCTATGTCTGCTACTGCTCTCTGCCCTGCTCGCTCAGCTCCACACACACTGAGTTTGTGTTCCTCACACAGCTATTCAAAGGTGTAGGCATGTTTCCACTTCAGGGACTTCTACTGAGCTGTTCCATCTGTCTGAAGCATTTGTTACCCAAACATCTATGTGGCCAGGTCCTTCCTTTAAGCCTTTGCTAAAATGCTGCATTTGCAATGAGACCCACCCTGACCATGTTATTTAAACTTAAACATCCTTAAGACGTACAGATTGGTAGTTACAAAATAGATACAGTGGTGTAAAATACAGCATAGGGACTATAGTCAAGAATATTGTAATTACTATGTATGGTGTCAGATTTATTAGGCTGATCCCTTTGCGAGCTATATAACTGTCTAATCACTATA